TATAAACTTTTATTAATAAATTAGGATTTAATCGGCTGTAATTCGGCAGCCGAATAACCCAATTTGGACTAGTGTAAGAGTATTAAACAATTTTAAAAATAATCTTAAGCAACCTTGAATGTTTTGTATATATTTATAATACCGTATTTTAATAATTTGACAAAGGTAATAAAAATATTTGCTTGAAAAATTAAGAGGTAATAGATATACGTATAATATAATGGATATGATTAATATAAATAATAAAGATATAAAGAGTACAAAAGTCATGTTTTCCTATGACAATGGAATATCATTTTTATAAAGTTGTGGTTTTTACAGAAAAAAGGTTTAAAATTGCAAACATAATTTGAAAACCCAATTTTCTTCTTGTTATTTGTAAAAAATTGCTCTTCACTAAAATTTTTATTTATTATTGAATCATTTTGTATGTTTGTTTCTTACAGAAAATATCACAAAAAAAAAGACAAAGATGAATAAATTATAGTAAATAAACAAATAAATGAAACAGCATATTTTGAATTGTACAAATAGAAACGCGATTCTCCATTAGCATTCCTCGTTTGTCAATATGGTAACATCGGTTACATATGGCTCGAACCAAGTTTAATGTTACGGAGTCTATCGTTCGTCAGTGTAACGTTTTATTAGATCACATGTCTTGTTTATCCTTTGATATACCATACACACTACACCAAGCACGAGAAGCAATGCAAGCACCACACACAATTATTTACCCCTTTACACTAAATCTTTATTAAGCAAATTTGCAATTGAGTTTTATTAAATTATATTTATATAAATTAGGTTAGTTTGTTTTCTTTATCATATATTCTTATTGTTAGCCCCAGAAAAAAGGAGATCGAAAAACCTTTTTTTCCGTTTGAGGATCGGATTTACATGTAACCATATGTTGAGATAAAACGCGTTAGTCTATCGGTTGAAAAATGATCCGATTATTATTACATGCGCGCACATACCAATCGTCCCATGTGATACGAAAAGATCGTGAGTAAATGAAATTAAGTAATGCTGTCGTAAGATACAGTATTTGTAATGAATTATTAAGCTCTCCATGTTAATTAATCCTTTTCATTGCGTGCACTCGGACTGTACAGCAATAGCTATTGTATTCCTTCATTTCTTCTATCATGGTTTTCATCATCTCATCATATTCTTCGGAATCTACACTCAAGATTTCCTTTAGATATGTCTTTAGGTTTTCAAACAAACTTATCGTATCGTCAATTGCCTGTGAAGCGTGATAAGAGAAAGGAAGGCATTCGTTTAAAAAAAAAAATCGATAAAATTTTTTAAGGCACATCAAAAAATAGTAATTTACCGCTTGACCAAGTCTACCGGCTTCCGTCCCCATGAAGAACACCTCTTCTTTGTGTTCGATATTTTCTAGTTGATTTTGTTGTTGACACAACGATTTTAATTCATGTGCCACTTTTGGAAACAAATTCCTTCGCTCTAACATAATTAAAACTGTGAATTGATTTGAGCATAGATATGAATTGAAGGTTAATGAATAAGTCCAATCATCAAGTATTAGCAGATCAACATAAGAGATCGAAGAGTCCATACAGGCAGCTATGATTTTGGTCGTAACTGGACCCGTCCTTTTAGTTTCCGGATCGAATTCCATTAGCTAAATTT